CTGCCTGTGTGTCTGTCTTCCTGTCTCTCTGTCTGCTTGTCTCTGTCTCAGGATCAATAAGTATTACACACGATGCAGAGTTGTCACGTCTGATTCCTGAACAAGTGAAAATGCATACAGTAGGGCCCCACTTATATGGCAGGTTAGGTTCCAGGCTACTGCCATAAAGCAGAAATCGCCGTAAGGTGGAACACCCTTTTTTTCCACTTATAAATGCATATAAATATACTAGACAACAAGTTTACACTAACATATATTAAGTTAGCAATAGAACTAGGCATTAAAAAACAATAAAAAAGTAAAATACACATAGAGTACACTCATTACTTACTTAAAATATTTGTAGTCTTAATCTAGGGTGAGATGAGTAGTATTTCTTTCTTTCTTCTTTCACACACTGGCCGTATCCCACCGAGGTGGGGTGGCCCAAAAGGAAAAAAAAAAAGTTTCTCCTTTCAAATTTAGTAATATATACAGGAGAAGGGGTTACTAGCCCCTTGCTCCCGGCATTTCAGTCACCTCTTACGACACGCATGGCTTATGGAGGAAGAATTCTGTTCCACTTCCCCATGGAGATAAGAGGAAATAAACAAGAACAAGAACTAGAAAGAAAATAGCAGAAAACCCAGAAGGGTGTGTATATATATGTTTGTACATGTACATGTAGTGTGACCTAAGTGTAAGTAGAAGTAACAAGACATACCTGAAATCTTGCATGTTTATGAGACAGAAAAAAGACACCAGCAATCCTACCATCATGTATAACAATTACAGGCTTTCGTTTTACACTCACTTGGCAGGATGGTAGTACCTCCCTGGGCGGTTGCTGTCTACCAACCTACTACCTACTGAGTAGTATTTATTGTTAGAAATCAAGTGTGGTATGTATGGCAGGCAGCCAGGCTACCATACCAGGCCATTCCACCCACACAATATTTTATGGCATTTAAGCGTCCCAGAGCGATAAAATGCATATACAGTTCACTCATTACTTACCTTAAAATATTTGTAGTCTTAATGTAGGGTCAGAGGTGAGTAAACGAGTTAAAATAAATAAATAGAGAGAGAGAGAATGAGTACATGAGAGAGGACAGGCGCAGAGTTATGTAAACAAACCAGGCGAACCCAAGTTTTGTAAACAGACCAGGCATACACGTCTGGTTTGTACTCGCCTTATTGTACTCACCTAATTGTGGTTGCAGGGGTCGAGACTCAGCTCCTGGCCCTGCCTCTTCACCGACCGCTACTAGGTTACATTGTGTACAAGTTGTCTCTACATTAATGCAGTAGAATAAATAAAGAACACCACTCCCATTTTCATGTAACACCATTTTTAGAAGAAATGAAGCTCTGAGTGAAGGCAGTGGAAATAAGTCACACTGACTTTTTTTTTGGGTTATCCTAGGTACTTTACACATATGCTGCTATGTATGATGATCTATGTAACTATATTTGTGTATACCTGAATAAACTTACTTACATACGAAAGGAATAATTTTCTACAGTTACCCCCAGTAACACATTTTCTCGTATGTTGGACTAGAGAAAATGTTATTCCTGCCTTCACTTGTACAAGTTATCTGGCTACCACATCTCATATTCATGTTTATTTATTCTACTGTGGGGTGTATTTATCATCGTTATATGTTATGTATCACGTTTATTATATAATTTTGAAAAAATATCATAGATGGATTATGAAAATATGTATATTAATGTAATATACAACATTTAATGAAACTCAGTGATTATTTTATTTTTATTATTATTATTATTATTATCATCATCATTACTAATATGGTGTCTCGAGTCATAAGACACTGATTTTAATGTGTGCCTGCAAGCCAGCACAGTGTGTAACTTTATTTAGGTACAGGTTTACATAAGTATAATTATCAGAGTATATATTAAATATGAAATAACTTTTAAAAGCACTTGAAATTTTGGAGTTTCCAGACTTAATGGAGAGACTTAGTGCTTATGGATCTCATGGAGAATGTAAGGAAACTGAGTGGGGCACAGTGACCATATTAGAAAGTCAGGTGGGGGGAGCCTTATAGAGAGTTTTGGTCATAATTTGAAATGACTGTATTAATGGAATGCTGTAAAGTGAAACACCGTAAAGCGGGGCCCTACTGTATTACTTGCCAGTCATGCTTATCATGCCTTATATCTACAAGCACAGTATAACACTTTGTCTGGATTTTTTGGCTTATCCTAGGTAATTTACACTATATATAATATATATTTATGTGTATCTGTGAGATAGAGACAGACACAGAGATACAGAGACAGGCAGATAGATACAGACGGAGATAGAGAAGCCAAAGTCAAGTAGCCACCCACCCGGCCTGCCAAACATGTATTACACATGTTTCAGAATTGTCCTCTCTTTACTTTGGGCATAGGTTATAGGGCATTCTGGCAGGATGACACTACCAGTGGTATCAAAATTGAAAGGATGTTGCACAAATGTTGCACATGGGTTATTATTGAGGTTTTTGATATTTCCTCAGCCCTTGTGGCCACATCCATCTCAAAGCCACTGAACTCAAGGTCAGCATCACTTTCCTCTTAAAAGGGGAGTGTTAATACGACATTGCATCAGTGAATCCCTGGTGTTTGCCATGCTGTTTGCTCTGGCTGGCGCTCAATTAAACTGGTGCTGCCACAAGTTACTAAGTGGTCCCAGATTTTTTTAATACTGCACATACCGAGTGTTAAGACCTCTTCTATACTGACCAGGCATCTCAGGCCAATTGTTCCAAATTTGGAGGCAGGAAAAATAAAACGTTGATCTATGTTTGGAGCGCTAGCAGTGAAAATGTAGATCTATGTTTGGACTTATTGTTATGAAGCTAAGAATTCTATTAGCTTTATTGCAAACACTTATGCACCTAATGTCATTAAAGAGAGCATTTCGGGTAGTTTAACCCTTTTAGGGCATAGATCCCCGATCTGAAACTTGTCCACAGGGTCCAAGAATTTAAAAAAAAAATTATTTTTTCGTATGAAATGGTTGAGAATCGTTTTCTGAAGGTAATAAAACAAAAAGTATGAAATTTGTTGGAAAATTGACAAAATTACTCTGTTGTGAAGTTTGTTATGTCAGTGATGTTTACTCATTGGCGATTTTGCCCATTTTGACGCCTATTTTAGGCCAATTAGATTGTTCCAGTCGACAAAATTCTTAGCTATTTTGCTAGCATGCTTTCTGTTTTATCAACTGAGCACAAGAAACTGCCAACCAATTATTTGAATTACCCAATAAAGTGATCAGAAATTGGTAATTTGGCCAATTTCACACTGATTTCAAAATATTCCAATTTCAACATAGGGTCCAGAATAAACAGTGCAGGCATTCCTGGCACCAGAATAACATTTCCTCTGTTCATTACCTGGCACCAGAATAACATTTCTTCTGTTCATTAATTATGTTTCCAGACTTTACACTTGAATTCCATTTTGATTTTTTATTCACACTGGATTTTTATTCAAACTGATAAATAGAAGATTTACTGTAATGCAGTATTGTAATAATTGTATAAATAATTTGAGTGCATTTGTGAACGTATATTAGACCCACCTGTTGACACATTGGATGCATGATGTGATTTGTTTACTCTTAAACATTGGCAAAAATCTATTTCTGCTACCTTGAGCTCAATTTCAAGCTATTCTCCATCCTAAAACTAATCAAAATGATCTCTATTTCTGTAATATATCTTCCATTCTATCAAATGAGATCAAGAAACCGTGAATACAACCATAAAAATCATCTGAAAATACACTGCAAAGTCACTGTTTTAAATCAAAAACACGTTCGCAGATCTATTTTTGTCATGCACTGAGTGTTGCAGGATATTTTTTATATGGTCCACAATTATCACATAGACCATTCTCTCATGTCTGGGCCCAAATTTACAGCTCACAGCTTATCTGAGTGAGCTGAACTTATCACGTAGTATTAAGGCACAGACCCTGGCTTTAAACCCGTAGAACAACGGCACAGACCCTCAGAGGGTTAAAAAAAATGATAGATGATGAATAGGAATGGTAAAGCAGGAGTAAGGATGTACCTAGTATGCACCAGTTGACTGACTGCAGTGTTCCTTGGCTTATAAAAAATAAGAATGAGAAGCACATCTTTAATTTTCACATCCGACAATTCCTACTCATATATTTGTCTAACCTGATTTTAAAGCTGTTGAGTGTATTAGTTTCATCGAGTCCATCTTCACCTACAGCTTTTACTGTCAGTCACCCACAACCATTCTCCACGACTCCCAGCATGTCATCTCGCCCCCCTTCCTTGCCTCTTGCCTGACCTGATGGCTTCCCTCCCAGTGTACATCTCCTCCCCCACCAACCTCCACAACTCACCCGGATTCCAGATTTTATCTGAAACAGATAAACAGATGAACAGAGGTTTTCAGTTAAATTATGGATGATTATAATTGGTTTTTCTGAATGTATACTAAATGTACGTACATTGAATATACAAAAACAAGAACAGTCCTCTTATTAATTCAAGTAATAGTTTAGTTCATCCTGTGTCTTTTATCCAATGTTAAAACTATTGTGAATGACAAACTTTAACACAGCACCTCTCTCACTTTTATATACACATTTTGACAACTAATATTTCAGCATTTTTTCTCTTCACATGAATGTGAAAAAAACATGTTTAATGTTTATTTGTGAATCCATAAAAACATGTTTTTACTATGTCATCTGTTTCCTGGCAACACAAAGTGAACCAAAGAAGGAAACACATTACCCAGTTATTCAGAAGCTCTCATGTCAGAGGTTCATGAACATCTGAATAGTTCTTTCAACTTTAAATGTAATCATACAAAATGTGTTCATCTTAAATAAGTGAGGCTATTTCAGAGATTTCATTTCTAATATAGCCCAAGTGTTTTGGGAACCAACTCTTATCTGTAGTTTTAGTTCACTCTATTGAAGTGCATTAATATATATATATATTTTAAATCTAGATTTCCACCCTGGTGACATTGAGGCTGGTGACACAAATTGGAGGAAATGATCAACTGGACTCCCCAAAGTACAAGTGTGCTGTTACTCTTGACTTTATACGAAATGTTGCAAGGTTTGTTATTTTGTGTTTTGATCTGTAGCCTCTGAAAGTAAAAGGACACAAGTGTAACTAATGTGACATTTATTGTGGCAACGTTTCGCTCTCCAGGAGCTTTATCAAGCCATTACGGTAATGGCTTGATAAAGCTCCTGGAGAGCGAAACGTTGCCACAATAAATGTCACATTAGTTGCACTTGTGTCCTTTTACTTTACATATTGTCGGTAATTCTACCAACTTTATTACAGCCTCTGAAAGGTTGGAAATTTGAGTCAGTGAGAAATGTCATCTAGCTCTGTATGTAATGCTTGTATTGTAACTAAGGACTGACAGTTAATTTTTAATACTAAGTTTATGTTTTATCAGACTATCTCTTTCTAGCATGACTGAATTGACATATACATACTTATCTTCTTATGGCTATAGTAGTTTGTTTTCCCAAGTAGTGAAGCTGTTTGCTAGTGATGGGAAGTTAAGCTCTAGAGGAAATAGGGATTTCTGAGAGCACAAATCTGATGCATTAATGTACGTTTATATAGTCAGTCCATTTTCAGTTAAATTTTCCTGAAAACGTTTTTTTTTTCTAATGCATCTTGTAGTGATAGTACTACTGTATGTGACAGTACTAATGTATGTGACAGTGCTAGTGTATGTGACAGTACTACTGTATGTGACAGTGTTACTGTATGTGGCAATACTAGTGTATGTGACAGTACTACTGTATGTGACAGTGCTAGTGTATGTGACAGTACTACTGTATGTGACAATGTATGTGGACTTCAGTAAGGCTTTCAATAGAGTTCCACATCAGAGGCTATTGAGGAATTATTATTTTTATAATCAAGGAGGAAGCACTAAACCCATAGGATTATACAGTGCTTGGGGGAGGGATGGAAGGTATTCAGGTTTAACTCAGGGAACTGGAGCACAGATCCAGTTCCCTAGATCAAGAGCCCCTCACCAGCATCAAGGAACCTTCCTTGAGGGGGGCTATTGAGGAAACTTAATGCACATGGAATAGGAGGAGAAATTTTTCCTGGGAACAGGCATGGTTTACAAATAGGCAGCAGAGAGTTTGCATAAATGGGGAGAAATCAAAATGGGGGCATGTCACAAGCGGTGTTCCACAGAGGTCAGTGTTGGGCCTTGTTGTTTAAAATTTATATAAACATCATAGATGAGGGAATAAATAGTGACATAAGCAAATTTGCTGATGACACTAAAATAGGCCATCCATTTCATTCTAATGAGGACATTAGAGCACTCCAGGATGATTTGAATAGACATGCAGTGGTCAGAGAAGTGGCAGATGCAGTTTAATATAGACAAATGCAAAGTTCTAAATGTTGGACAGGAAAATAACCATGCCACATATAAACTCAATAATGTAGATTTTAATATTACTGATTGCAAAAAGGATTTAGGAGTTTTGGTTAGCAGTAATCTGAAACCAATACAACAGTGCATAAGTGTTCGCACTAAAGCTAACAGAAACCTTGGCTTCAAATCAAGAGGTATAAATAGTAGAAGTCCTCAGGTTGTTCTTCAACTCTATATATCTTTGGTTAGGGCTCATTTAGATTACGCTGCACAGTTCTGGTCACCGTATTACAGAATGGATATACGTAAATGCACTGGAAAACGTACAAAGGAGGATGACAAAGCTGATCCCATGTATCAGAAATCTTCCCTATGAGGATAGACTGAGGGCCTTGAATCTGCACTCTGTAAAAAGTTGTAGAATTAGGGGCGTGGTGAAGAGGCTCTTGGTCTGAGGAATTAGCCCTGTCGGTCTTCTTCCTCAGACCGAACCTAATTACCCCCCATTCTCCCCTCCCCTATCCCATCCTCCCCTTTTTCCATTCCTCCTCCTCCTCCTCACCCCTCCCTTTTGCCCTTCCTCTTTTTGGCCTTTGGGATTTCTCCCACAGGCGCGCTAGTTCCTAGGTAGGGGAAAGGACACCGGGGTCCATCCAGTTCCGTTGAGGTTCTTGGCGGTGGCGTAGTTTGCCGTGGAATCTGGATTGCCTGGGGATGTCCCGATCCCTCTCCGGTATCCCAGAGTAGCTTTGGGTGTCTTTCGGGCGACGGGTGTATCTCTGGAAGCCACCTTTCAGATTCCGGGGGTGGTGGCCGAAGGAGGTATGCTTTGTGGCGGATATCCGGCCGCCCTCTCTTTTGTCCACCGAGGTAGCTCGGCAGATGTGAGGTTGCTATCCCGGATTGCTGGTTTACTGGCATGAAGGGTAGGGTATGGCACGGGTTCCATGCTGCATCTGCGCTACTAGCGGTGCTGAGGTCCTCTTGGGCACGGAGGGAGATTTCCGGCCCTTTCATTCCTCCTGGGAACTATTCCTCCCCGCTCCCCCCTTTTTTTAATTCTTTTTCTATTTTTAATTTTCTTTTCTTCTTTTTTTTTTCTTAAAACAAAAAAAGCAAAGGAGTAACCTAACCATGGCAGCCCTAGTCCATGAACCCACTACCCCCCGGGCCCCTTCTTGATACCGCACCCCATTGACCCTGCCTTGTGTTTAGACCACTCTTCGGACACTCCTGAGCCCCTGAAAACCTTTTGCTGGTGCTGTTTCCTCACCCGGTTCAGGTACCGGGGCTTTCGACTGACTCCTTCGATTTGTCTGAACTCCGCTCTCCTTTGACTATGCTTCCGGCTTCTCCCTCTACGGTACGGCTTTTTTTCGAACGCCCGCCCATTTCACCCCGGGACCAACTCCGGTCCTACTCCTAAACGCCAACGTCAATCTCCTGATGATGCCCCTTTCGTTACCTCCCATTCTACTCGGAAAAGACCGACAACGTCAAGCACTCCCCTCTCCACGCTCAGTTTTCGGACCACACAATGGACTAAATTTCTTTACTTTAAGACCGACTTCTTCTTCTGCCTACCTTTCTGACCATAGTATTGGCAAAGCGCTCCTCGTCATGTTGGTAGAAAATATTTTTAAATTCATGCTCTCAAGAGCGGTATGCGCATCGTCACTGTCCAAGAAGCTACCCAAGCTCATGATCTTTCTCTCCTTTCGAATATCGATACTACTCCTAATCACTATTGAAAAACATCTTCTCTCAATTCTTGTAGTGGTACTGCCCATTCTGCCCCCATACCATAGTCCAACAGAATTTACAGTCATGTGGCAATGACATTTTTAAACAGCTGAACTCCAGGATCTCCCAATTCCAAAGTAAAACACTTATGTCCTTCCTGCCCGGGGGCGGAGACGTTACCTTTGCAATGTGGCTCTTTAAACTTTTGACAGCCGAGAACTCCCTCCTCTGTTATATTCGCGGGACATGGGTTACAAGTTCAAAAGGGTGATACCTACACCGCAACAATGTAAAAAATTGCTGGCATTTTGGTCACCCAGCGAAATATTGCAGATCTATGGCCGAATGCCCATCTGTGGTGCCGACGACCATTCAATACATCTTGCAGTCACCTCCATCTTGCCTTAATTGTAATAAAGCTCACCCTTCGTACTCCCGCCGTTGCCAGTCTACTTAAATGAACGTGAAATCCGTTGCCTCAAAGAGGGCAGAAGGTCTCCCTTATGCTATGGCAGTTACTCATCTCCGCCTCCCCAAGGGGGACTAACCCCCGTGTTTCTTATTCTCGTGTTTCCAAACTCCCCCCACTTCTGGGTCCCATCTTCTGCAGCCTCCTCTGTTGTTTTCCCCTCCCATACCACTAACGGCAAACTAATCCTTTTGCTGTCCTTGCTCTGACGTCCTGACTACAACTCAGTCTGTTCTCACATCTTCGGGGTCCTTCCTCACAAGCCCCAGTATCGACAAGACCTCGAACACCACCTAATACCAATCGCCCCTCTACTCAGAAGTCCAAAAAATCCACATTGCTCAAATCTTCTTTGCCCCTTCCTTCCCTTCTTCCACCTCCACACTTTACCTTTCCTCTCTGGTACCTAGTTCTTCCCCTCTCTCTGCTCTATTACAAGTGTTGGAGATTCACCCTCCTCCTCGTACTATGCTTTCCACCCCCGTTCCCCTCCCAAGTTTCCTCCCCCTTCTGCCACCTCCCAGGTTTCTGCCTCTTCCCGTCTCCCCCCCCCCCCCCACACTTCATCTCCGTCCTTTACACTCCTTCCCCCCCCTCTACTTTGGTACAGTCCATTACTGTCCCAATCTTTACTCACCCTCCTCCTTCTATCTCCAATATGGTCTCCCATACATCTTTGAATTCAGAAACACTTGAAGCCATTTCAGAATATATTGCAGAGACAAACCTTCAATGGACACTGATTCACTTCCTGTTCCTTCTCTCCCCCCCCTCCATCTTTACAACCCCATTCTTTGCAAAAGCTCCGTTCCTTCGCTACTTAACGTCTTCCAATGCCCCCACACGTTTACTTTTTTAACCCCTCTAGTCCTAGGTGCCTTTTCCTACAGATTCCTGTATTTTCTTCATCGCCAGTCATGGCCTACTTACAGTGGAATATCCGCGGCCTCAGGAGTAATCGGGTGAGCTTTTAGATGTTTGCTTTCCAGGTTTTCCCCTGTTGGTGCTTGCTTACAAGAACCAAAATTACACTCGGCTGTTTTCCAACCTATCTCAGCTATAATTTATTGTATTCTTCGGATCCTTTCTCAGATGGGACCTTTAATGAAAGTACCCTTCTTCTACCAATGATATTCCGTACTGTCAACTATTTGTCCATACCTCGCTGCATTACCTGCAGCCCATATCCACTTGAATAAGTGGTTTACAATATGTTCTTTATATCTCTCTCCTTCTCGAGCATTTTTCTATCCCAGACTTTGCCTTTCTTGTTTCATCCTTACCACCACCACTTCTGTTACTTGGTGATTTAAAAGCCCACCATTTCCTCTGGGGGGGGGGATCTCATTGTGACTCACGTGGCATCCAGTTTTGGGGGCTTTTCTCGCCTCCACCCCTCCATGTTTTTAAATACGGGTACTTCCCACCCATTTTGATCCTCGTACCATACTCTCTCTTGCATCGATCTATCATCTGCTCTTC